TTCATAAATGTCATTTACTAATGAGGTTTACATTTACAAACGCGCGCACAAGTTCTCAATTTCAACGGCACTAGTACATTTACGGAACACAGTTCAGAGAAGAAAAAGAAGAAGGGGGCGGATGATAAGAGACACGGAGGGAGAGAGACAGAAGGGTAGAGAGCTTATAAAAGGAGGGGAGGGGGAATGCCTGTGGCCTCGTGAGCGAAGGAAATGGGAATAGTTTACTGAGCGACTGCCAACACAACAACACCGCACTTTCGCGTTCGCTCACCGCGCCCACACGACAAAGCAGAATTTTCTAAAGTAGGAGAGCAAACGCTCGCCTGATCTAGCCGTGTTTCCAGCTACCATTTCGCAGTCGTAATTTAATTTCGTCTTTTTCATCAGTCCCCTTCCAGTCGTGTTTGTCTCCACCGGCCACCTCGCCTGAAGTCCCCGTGCACATAAACTAAAAGTAGTGAAGCAAAGTCAATCTCTTGGCAGCTAGGTAAGAGAAAATTTCGGATAGCTAATCTAGAATCGATCGCCATGTCTGTGTGTGTCAGAGGGATGGGGCCTCCCACCCTTTCCTTTGTAGCCTGAGGGGTCGGGTTCAAATACCAGAGTGTGCGAGTGCCTTCCCTTATTTCTTTTTTTTTTGGGTGGGGGGGGACAGCGAGGGAATTATTCGCTGGAGGGCCTTCAGCTGTTCGCCACGCTCCGCCCGGGGGATGAAACACGTAGCGAAGTAATGAGAAGGAACGAGGTGGGGCGGGGCGGGGCGGGGCGCGTCAGCAGCAGGGGATGTGAGAGAGACCAGGTGAGTGAACTTATCGCCGATATTGGGATGGCAAGAACAGAGAAGACGCCGCTAAGTACTGCTCGGCTCAGGCTCCAAGGCGGGACGAGGAAAAAAACAATAATAATAACAACAACAACAATAATAGTAGAAGAAGTATTAGTACAGTGTAGAAGGAGTAGTAATCATAATTACATGACATTCCTTTCATACCGATGTGAGCCTCCCCGCTGCCCGAACAGTAGTTACATTATCACGAATTATTTCGCCGTGCTGGAATTTCAGCTCTTCGCGGCTCTAGGGCAGCCGAACCACAACAGAAGCTGTGCGATTTATCTCTCTCACAGCAGGGTATCAAACTATCCTCCCAAATCCCGCACTGCTGTCCAGGAATGCCGCTGAATCTCTTTTTTTTGAAGCCCCCGTTTCCATCCATTTAGTTTTTCTGCTTCACTTTCATTCCATTCGTTTTCTTCTTTCTTTTTTTTTTTTGTATTTGGCGAACCGTTTTGAGCCATCGGTGACGCTGGTGGCCAGTGATTTGTATTTATTTTGCTTTCAATTTGCTGGGCCCACATGACCACCCTCCCCTCCCCTCTGCTTTTCCCTTGACCCCCCCCCCCCCCTCTCCCTCCCCCCCTTTCTCTTTCTCTCTCTCTGTCTCTTTCCCAGATCGCTCTCCCAACACTGTACAGGCGAGCGCACATCCATTGGGCTGGCCTGGCTTTTCAAAGGCAACCTCAACCTCAACAGAAAGGGAAAGGTCCACGATGACGCGAGAAAGGGGGGGGGGGGGGGGGGGGGGGGGGGGGGGGGGGGGGGGGGGGGGGGGAGGGAAAGGGAAAGGGAAAGGGGGGATGGGGGTCACTGAGTACACGGCTCAGTGGGTGAGGCACGGGAAAAAACAATGGTGCTTCTAAACACCTTCGACGATGGTTGTTTGTTTGTTTGTTTGGGGTCACTGAGTACACGGCTCAGTGGGTGAGGCACGGGAAAAAACAATGGTGCTTCTAAACACCTTCGACGATGGGCATGTGAACTGGATACCCACGTGCGTGCGTATTATATGTAAGCCAGGGGTCAGGCTTAACGACAACACTACACTGTAAAGCCGGGGTGTCCAGCATGTAGGCGACTGGCGACTCAGTCACCTGACCCGCAACACTAGGCGACTTATGTCGCCTATCTGCTGGACACTTTCTGGTTTTCCGGGTAATGCATGGGCACAATGGGTAGAATGCCTATGGACTCATACATTGCAATTACCCGGAAGAACCGAAAGTGTCCAGCAGATAGGCGACATAAATCGCCTAGTGTTGCGGGTCAGGTGACTGAGTCGCCTACATGCTGGACACCCCGGATTTACAGTGTAGTCAGTGCCAGAAAGACGGACTTATGCGGATGACCCGCAAGAGTGAAAGAGCGCGAATGAGAACATGATGATGTATGCGATATTTTCTTCAACACATATGAACATCAGAGCGTGCCTAGCAGCAGGCTGACATGTCGCCTGAATTTCTAGGGCAGGCTACGAAAGTCACCCTGCTGCTGAGGACCACAGGTTCGTATAGATTATACGCTACAAGCTTCTTCGCACCTGGCCACGGCCATGAAGGCCACCTCCACGTTGAGCCCGGTCTTGGCGCTCGTCTCCATGAAGGCCACGTTGTACTCGCGGGCGAGCCGCTCGCCGTCCTCGCGGCGCACAATCCGCTCGTTGCAGTCTGCCTTGTTGCCTGCAAGGAGAAAACAAGACAAGTATTAGTTAATGATGTACCAATTATATATGGCCGCACGTTTCCTTCATATCATGTACACTAACTAGACATTTTACGGAGAAACGGAGATGCCATAAGCGCGAGTTCGCTAGCGCTCGAGGCCGCACGATGGGAAGGGAATTCAGCAGGTGTGCGCTTGACCAGGTCGGCGCCGGCGGATTCTCCCGCAGAGAAAAGAATGAAGGCACATATAACCCGAGAGGACGGGTTGAGGTCATGTAATGGGAGCAAGGGTCGGAGACTTGGGGAGAAGGGAGGGGGGGAGGGGAGAGAAAGTTGTGTGGAAGGAGTGGGGAGCGGCGTCTGCTTGCCAGCTGGGCTCATGAAATAGTGATGATCGTCTCAGACAAATCCGTCATGACAATGCAATTCGGCGAGCCCGGCCCTAATGAATGAAATCATGATGTGGATACGGCCCTGATGAAAAAGGAGGGACAAATCCTCTCCGGTGATTGTCCGCAGCCGTTGGGGGCGGGCGAGGGGGCGAGTGCTCAGGAGGCCGGAGCCGGCCGGTCTAGAAAGGGGTGCAAAAGAGATGAGAGGTTCGGCAATTTTTCGTCATGACAAAATAAACTTTTAAAAAGACCTGACTCTAGCGCTTGCCTGCGGGACGGGGCCATGGGCGGCGACCTCACAAGACCACCTGACTAATTTGAAGAGTTCCGGGCGGATGAGCGCGGCGGCGGACTCATCTCTCCCCGGGGGGCCTAAACGAGATTCCGGGACGTACCAGAGGCACAGTTGTGTAAACCTAGGACGCGGGAGGAAAATTTTGACGAGGACTAGTTTTTGTCCATTGCTCTTCAATAATAGCCCCCTTTTCAAGGGCACTAAAGTTTCGCTAAATTACCATCACAATTTCTATTTCGTGGGTCGATTAAAACGATCTGTTTATGTATCTTTGGCGGTAAATGCCATGGCCTTGGCGCTATCAGAAAGCGCAGGTTGAGTTTTGTAGGTCAGGCGAGTCCGATTGGAGTTCGACTGGACTGGAGTAGCGGCCGCAACAACAACCGGTTGTTGGCCGCCGTTCAGGCTCCTGCGAGGGCTCCTGCAGCAGGCCACGGCCCAGGAACCGGCCACTTCACCGCGCCATGCCGTTCCTTCCCCACGCTTATTCGCTATCACGTTTCAATTCGGCCTTGTTTGCTCGCGAAGGAGTTTTTCCCCCATTCCATATCGTTCTGAAAGTAATAAAGTGGCCTGCTGGCTTGGCAACAACGCTTTGTTTCCTCAACAAGAACATACTCTGGAAAATAAGTCTGCGACTTTCATCACTGCTTGCGGACGATTTACTATGGAATTGCGAGCCAATCGATTCCAATGTAATCAAAAAATATCGTTCGCAGTCACTAAAAAATTCCTTCGAAAGGCTTGCAAAACGACCAAATTCTTCTCAAGATTTTATCAGTGCAAATAGGAGGCCAAGGCATATATACTTAAAAGTTGTCATTCACTCCTTTGTACTAAACATTTGTGACGCACTTAGTATAATTTTTGGCATGTCGCAAAATGGGAGGGAAGGGAAAAGATGGGGGAGAGGGGCAGAGAGCACACAGATATAGGGGAGGAAGGGGAAGGAAGGTAAGGATACTAAGGGGTGGTAAGATCCCGGAAGATCCAGAGTGGGGTCGGACATCAGGCGCAACCCCCTTCCGTCTCTCTTACCGGCCTTCTCCTCCCGGCTCCACTTCAATGGAGCCGTTCCTCACATTTCGCTTGCTGCTAAGGCTTCAGCAGCAAGGGAGTGGAGACTGACCCCACACCCTGGCACTGCCGGCCTCCTCTCCCGATCCAGCCTCTCCAGCCCCAACCAACCAGTCTCTCTAAGCCGCGCCGGCATTGGAGGAGCCGAGAGAAGCTATAAAGTGACAGAGGAAGCCAGAGGAGAGGGGAGTGATTAGGGAAGGAAAAGAGAGAGGGAGAGAGAGAGAGAGAGGGAGAGAGAGAG